ACGTTTTCCATCAGCGTCAAAATGGCACATATTCTCCACTACAGCAACACAAGGCACCTAAAGCAATAAATAAATCTCAGAATTGTTCATTATCTGTTGTTGCAAAGTAGAAAAAGAAAAGTGTAGTTTCTATGTGACTTAAACTCTGTAGATAAACTGCAATGGGGCCTTTCTCGAGCGAGTAGACACAAAGGCTATAAATACGGAGTTAAAAGATGTAACTATTCATTCACACAATTAATAATAAAAACCCTAAAGGGGAATTTGCCTCAATTTTTTTTCGCTCTCTTAAGTTATTTTTTTCCATTTCTTAAACTTTTTCTCGCGAATTTACAGAAAGTTCTTCACTTCGCAAGCTCCTTATAAGGTAAAAATGGAGATTTTATGATGAATATTTGGGATTAGGGAAAAGAAAACCTTTAGCTTTGAGAACATTCGTACACCTTTGGCAACATCGATAAAGGCCAACTTTTGAGGTGTGGTCACAATTACAGCTGCTGTTAATGGCGCAACCTGATATTTTTATATGCATAATTTCATCATCAATTGATTGAATAACGCACTCAAAACAAAGCTACTGCATCATACCAAAAAAGTTTCATGATTATAGGATTTTCGTCACTGAACCTGGCATAAGGTTAGTTGAATGTCACCGGTTCCAGGAGGCATGTCAATAACAAGATAATCCAACTCTCCCCTGCATCAAATTCCACCTAAAGATTATAAGTTGTTCTAGAAATATATAAAGACATGATCTTTTATGCAAATAAGCAAACCATTCAGTTGTTGTAAGGAGTTGATTTATGACACCAGACACCATTGGACCTCTCATTATGGCACGCCCTTGTCCTGCAAACCCAAATGAGACTAGCTTCACCCCCAGGTATTCTGTTGGAATGATAGTCTTCTTCTCCGTGTCCTGTTGAAACATTATAACAACTCGAAAACCTTAGCCCTTTAGCGTTAACTTTTATTAGAAGAATCGATTAGTCAAGATAAATGTTTACCATTTCAAGAACACGGCTCTCCGGATTGACCATAGTTGGTAAACTTGGACCATAGACATCAGCATCAAAGATGCCAACTCTTGCACCCATACCAGCCAATGTATATGCAAGATTTACAGCTACTGTTGATTTTCCAACACCTCCCTGAAAAAAGTTCAGTTTAACATGAACGAAACAGCTGGAAGTAAAGACCAGATACTATTTCATCTCTATCTTCCGTGGCTTGTGATTAAACAAAGTTATGTTATAGGAATTGTCCATTGATTGGTTTACAAAAATCTTGAACAAAACAAGGAAGCGAACAGAGAAACAAGGAATACATGACATCTTCTTGATCTCCACCTGGACTACTTTGGCACAAGAGCATGTACCATTCAATATTGCATGCAGTATTAACTAGAAAATGCATAAAAACTTGAAGACTAAAGAGAAAATATGAAGAGCTAAAAGAAAGAAAGTTTATCAGAAGATATATTTGTACCTTGCAACTTGAAACAGCCACAATGCTTGAGATTCTTGATAATCCAGGTGGAAGCTGCCCAGCAAATATAGGCTTAGCTGGTTGAGCCGACATTGTCACGTTGACTTTCTTCACCCATGGAAGCACTGCAACTAGTTCATTTGCCTTCTGCTCAAACTGCAAAACAATATATTGTATTATGTAACAAATAATTCGTGCTTTTATAACTAAATATATAACTACCCCCCCCCCCCCCCCCCCCCCCTTGAGCGGATTGTTTGATTTCAAAACTGTTCAGCCTAATTCAAGTTGCTAAGTTCCTCATGAGAATGATCAAAGAATAGTGTAATGGTTTTGTCATTTACCATATCTTTGACTGGACATGCTGGTGTTGTCAGCTCCAAACGGAAGGACACCTTACAACAGAATCAAATACATGTTTCAGCTTTCAACAAGTCCCTTAAACAGCATTCGAACGAGATATATATGTTACAGTAATAACTATTACCTCTCCTAGAGCTTCATCAATTACCAAATCTTTTACAAAACCACAAGAAACTATATCTGTCCCGAAATCAGGATCAATGATTTGAGACAACGCCTTCAACACATCTTTCTCTAATGTTTTAGTAACGCCCTCACCAACACTGGCTGTGACTATACACATATTAGTTTCAGTAGAAATGCATTTGTTAGTTTCTTTGGATAAGAAACTATACACTTGCAATTACCTCAATCTATTTTATTCTTATTTTACCAAAAAAAAATAATCATTCTCCATAAAACATGTAAAATTCGGTTTACTTCCAAATTATAAAAGCAAATTTAAGACCAAATTGGTTAAACTACCACCTTGAGCGGAAGTAGCTTTAGCTACACAGAGCTTTTGAGATACCGAATAGCTTCTTCGGATGATGGTAGCTTGAGATTGGAGAAACTTGTGAGAAACAAGCAATCCTATTGTAGAATTGCTTCTTCTAATGTGGAAAGAAGGATGGTGCCGCAACGAGTGAGGATGAAGGAGAAGCGGCATGCTCGAGAGAGTGGGAAAAAAAATACAAAGCGATGAAATCAAACGCCAAACAGATATGAACCGATTATGAATCACACAAACGAAGAGGAAGGAGATTCAGTGTAAACGCGGTCGTTTTACTTAATGTGTGTTTTCGTTCGGAAAATTGTTCATTTAATTCCTGAAGTATTTGCAATTAGCAAATTTATTCCCCAACTATCATGTGTGAAGATTAAATCCTCAACTTAGCGTTGACTTCGCAAAACGTTACCGTTGACTTTATATCTCAGTCTAATTTTGCAAAGTCAACATAAAATCAAGGAATTAATTTGCCAAATTGAAAGTTGGATAATTGATATGCACAATGACAAAAACTTGACGAATTAAATGATCATTTTTTATTTAGAAAATTATAATTATTTTCATAAATCATGATTATTTGTAGAAAATCATTTAATATTTTTTAAGAAATATTGTTTTTATTATATTATGTTTTCTATTGTTATTAATAAAATTACGTGTATTTAATTATGGTGACTTTTTTCTTTACTGGCAAATTTTTTGGTTATCAACCGATGATTATTCTCCTATCATACAGTCATTTGGTATGGTTACTCTATTAGAAGAAACAATTTTTATCAAATTCACTTATTTGTTTTTCGAAAGTTATGTATACTGATTTTGTCATGTTGCTTAAATATCAATGAAATTTTAGACAGAAAACATAATATAATAAAAATAAAATTTTTTAAAATAGTATTTGATGATATTCTACAAATAATTATGATTTATGATTATTAGAAAACATAATATAATAAAAAATTAGAAAGTATTTTATAGTATTCTACAAATAATTATGATTCATGAAAATAATCATAATTTTATATATAAAAATGATCATTTAATTCTCCAAGTTTTTCTAATTGTACATATTAATTCCTCAACTTTTAATTTGGTAAATTAATTCATCTAGTTTATGTTGACCTTGCAAAATTAGACCAAGAGAAGTCAACACTAACGTTTCCGTTTTCTTCGTTTTTTTATTTGTCAACATATTCATTCTATAAATCACTTACTCTTCAAACATGAAGAGAATGTTTACAAAACATGATAACAAAGCCAAACCGGCTAAAAGATCCGATGCAACAAGAGCAAATCGGAGAATAAACATAAAGATAGAAGCAACTATAACACTTAAAACACTAGAGACATGGAGATGTCCTCTAAACTCCACGCCAATAATGCTAGAAGGTGAGATGAAGCTGATGAAATTAACAAGCATCACTAGAACCGATGCAACACAAAGTGCAAAGAAGAGATTAACATAAGTGGAAAAAAAGAGAGTAACAAGGCCTCGCACAACCTGTACAATGCCTGCTATCTCCTTCAGAACCGATCCCAACAAGAGGGAGATAATTAGGACATCCCAGTCCGAAGAAACAAGCAGCAAGGTGAAACCTGTAGAGCGTACATCCTTGAGCCGCTGCAGAGAAGATTCGAAGTCTTCACTGGGCTTGGACCGAAACAAGGTGAGGTCCCAGAAGCTTTCAGCAAAATGACATTGGAGAAGGGCTCTGAATTCTTCCTCCAAATAGCCAAAACTCTTACATATTTTATATTCTGCGAAATAACTTTTCCCATCTGAAAGAGAAAAAGAAAAATCTATTATCTCCATAGAGGAGTACACATGATCATAGATTTCCAAACACAGCCAAAACAAATGATATAAAGGATTGTAAAATACTATCACTTTGTAAAGCTCCACAAAGGAGAAATAGCTGAGATGTAACCAAGCCTCATAATGAGGTAAACAGAGCCTCATACTGAGGTAAACGAGAACCACATAATGGTTCCTGAATTGAGTCGGCTTGAAACGTAAAGTCACAGAAACCATACCTTTCAAAGGCAACGTCTGAGTAAATGAGTTACCAGAGAACATAGCCGGATCGGAGCGCAGTCGGTAAGTGTTAAGTGTCAGAGAAATTCGTAAAGAAATCCCAAAAGAGTTACCGGTGAACATAAAGGACACCACGCCAAATCTGGGAAAGGACTTCAAAGTACTTTATGCATATACAACAGATCCTAAATCCGGTGGATCTGGAGTGTCCGGTGGGATTGGCGGAGTAAGAACAAGGATTCCAATGCACTTGGTGGCAAGAGAGCCTGCAGAACGAGTGGAAGACGGCGGATCTGGAGGAAACTTCATGGAAAACCGAAACAAGGGAAGAGACGCCATCAGAAAGGAAGAGGAGGGGGAAAGAGGAGAGAAATTCTCACTGGCGAGCGTGAGGCTCGCCAACGGCGGTGAATAGATCTACAAAACCCTAATCACCTAACAGAGGAGAGAGAAGAAAGCGATAAGTTTTTTGTGGCCTTTGTGTTATATTTAACCGTTTTCTTCATTAAAGTTGACTTTTTTCATGCCTAAATTTGCAAAGTCAATGCTAACTTGATGATTTAATTTGCATACATGATAGTTGAGGAATAAATTTGCCAATTACAAATACTTTTGGAATTAAATGAGCAATTTCCCGTTTTCTTTTTGTACTGGAAAGCGGTTTACAAGTAACCGGAAATAACCGGATATTGACGAAACCGATCGAACGAAAACTTCTCACTTAACTTCGCAGACACCTCGATCTCATCGAAGCTCCTCTCTTCTTACATATAACTTCACACCAAACAAACCTACTCCTCTCTCTCGTCTGTCTAGGCTCTATCAGGTATCTCTCTCTCTCTCACTTTGGTTCTCTGTTTGATTGATGAGTTTCGAAGAGAAAAATGCAGTTGTGTTTTGGGTTTTGGAAGATGTATTTTAAATTATCTTTGTCGATTGAGTTTTCTCTGATGTTAGGCTGCGAAAAATCTGTACTTGTGCGATTTTTGTTGTTATGTATTCTCTAGATTTATCTGATTCTTAATTCTGTTTGACTATATTCTCGTGTTTGAAAAATGCGAGCTTGATTATTTTAAATCAAAATCATTAGAAAAATGCAGATGGGTTCTTGAGCTTTTTAATTCTCTGGACTGAGAATTCTCCATTGTTCATCTCTCTTGCAAAAATGTTGATCTGATTCTTAAAAATTCTGTTTAACAAGATTCACATTTGTAACATTATAGCATGGGAACAGTTTATTGAATTCGAAACCAGTCACAGTGCTCAGACATTTCTAGATTTTTTTCGGTTCTTGGCTTGTTGTTTTTAGTATTATAAATACTTTTTTGATTAACTCTTCACCTTTTTGCAAATTAATAACTTGGGATGGTGTTTTGAATTGCTCCTGTTGCTCACACATTTGTTCTCGACTTTTTCTTATTACATTTTTGCACAGAAATTATTAGAAAGGCTGTGAGAATGGCGGCAACAGCAGGTTCAAGCTTGCAAATTGCTACAATAAGGCCAAGCATTTCTGCTGCCTCTTCCAAAGTTCTTAAAGCAGGGACTTACATTGTCGGTGCCAATCCCGGGAACGCGTCGTGGGATAAACTTACCTGCTCTCGCCATTTATCAAACCTCGGATGTTTGAGAAACCAAAGCGCTATTCCCACCTCTAAGAAGCACTTCTCATTTTCCACAAAGGCGATGACTAAATCAAGCGAGAACAAGGCTTCATCTGGACTTCCTATTGATTTGAGAGGTCTGCATATCTTAAATCATTACTAAGATGCTATCAGAAGCCTTTGTGACATATTTGAACTAAAGCAACGGTTACAATGATACAGGGAAAAGGGCTTTTATTGCTGGTATAGCTGATGATAATGGATATGGTTGGGCCATAGCCAAATCTCTCGCTGCTGCTGGAGCTGAAATATTGGTTGGGACATGGGTTCCTGTAAGTGATCTCCTGTTGGTTTTCTTTCAGCTGCTTTTATTATTCTTGATTGTTAAATTATTCTAAACCTTTGAGTGGTTTTACTAGGCACTTAATATCTTCGAGACGAGCTTGAGACGTGGAAAGTTCGACCAGTCTCGTGTGTAAGGACTTACAAGCTTGATGAAATGTGGTTTTTTCTTTGTCAGACTCAGCATATTTCATATAATGGGACTTTAATTTCCCATCTATCTATTTACATGTACAGGTTGCCTGATGGGTCATTGATGGAGATCAGAAAGGTTTATCCTTTGGATGCTGTGTTTGACAATCCTGAAGATGTGCCTGAAGATGTAAGGCGGTTGGCTAAGTGTATAGCTTTCTCATCCTATGGAACGGTTAATATCTGAATTACTTCTTAACCTTCCCAACTTTATGATACATTTTCAGGTGAAAGGGAATAAGCGATATGCAGGATCAGCAAACTGGACTGTACAGGTAATAGATGCAGAGATCTACTTTACATTCTAAGTTAAAAGTGCATATGATCACTTTAAAAGGTAGAGGAGTTTGTTTGTTTCTTCTTAATGATTGCGGCTTATTGCTTAAATCAGGAAGCTGCTGAATGTGTGAAGACAGATTTCGGAAGCATCGACATTCTTGTCCACTCCCTTGCAAATGGGCCAGAGGTAGAGAACTCATAGTGTTCTTATCTTGATACTGCTTACAAGAAGTGTATTGTGGACAGTTTTTTTCCCCAATGGGTGCTTGTAATGTTTAGGTTAGCAAACCCCTTCTGGAGACATCGAGGAAAGGCTATCTCGCTGCTATATCTGCTTCGAGTTACTCCTTTGTTTCCCTGCTCAGGCATTTTCTGCCAATTATGAACCCAGGCATGTATCAAAATTTTGCATGTGTCTCTTATTCTCTTATAGTTATGGTTTCTAATTTGTTTCGCTATGATGATAATAATTCAGGAGGTGCTTCTATTTCTCTTACATATATTGCCTCTGAAAGGATCATTCCCGGGTAAGGGTTATATGCGCACACACAACAGTTCTTATACACACAAAGTTTTATTTCTCAATAGATTTCAAGCATCTTTCTTTCTTTCTTGTGCAGGTACGGTGGAGGTATGAGTTCTGCGAAAGCCGCACTAGAAAGTGATACACGGGTGCTTGCATTTGAAGCTGGAAGGAAACAAAACATTAGGGTCAACACCATCTCTGCAGGTGATTGATCCTCCACTCTTTGCCTAGTGTAATATGGATATCGAGGCTTTTCGATTGTAACAGAGTACTAACTACTACTGCTTTGTGTTTCAGGTCCTTTGGGAAGCAGAGCAGCGAAAGCAATTGGGTTCATAGACACAATGATTGAGTATTCCTACAATAATGCACCTATTCAGAAAACATTGACTGCAGGTCTATCTTCCTTCAATCCCGCATCTCTCTTGGGCTTTCAAAACTTTTTTTTTTTTCCTTCTTGGAATCTTACGAGTTTATTAAAATTGTAATGATGCAGATGAAGTTGGGAATGCAGCAGCTTTCTTGGCATCTCCATTGGCCTCTGCCATAACCGGTGCAACTATCTATGTGGACAATGGCTTGAACTCGATGGGCGTTGCCCTTGACAGCCCGGTTTTTAAAGACCTCAACAAATAGGGTATTTATCAACGAAATGAACATGACGAATTCAGTTTACTGAAGCTTTGCTTGCCTGTGTCTTTATGAGTAGTTTATGATCTCTATCGGCTTGTTCTTTTCTGCTTCTTGGAGGAGAATAAATTATGTCTTTAAGTTTGTCATATCTCATATGTATCAACTGTTGCACTATGAATTCTTCTTATGATTGACAATTTGCAATTGAAGGAGCTATCAAGTTTCTGCTGTGTGTTGTAGCCACATTTACTCTGTTCTTTTGTTTATCGCTGCGACTGCGGCAATGAAAGAGAAAATCTTTACGTTGCGTCAAGATGGAGATCACAATTGCAGTTGAAGATGACCGCTGGCATTGCTAAAAATGACCGCAGGTGTTGTTAGTAAGACGCTGGAATTTTCTGGCGACACTTTCGATGATGTGGTCATTCCTGCGGCATCTTTTTCTTTGATCAACAACTCCATTAGTGTCGTTTAGCTTTTCTACTTATTATTATTGTTGTCGTTTTGCTCGGTCGCAGCCGCTGCGTCTAAGAAAAGATCAAAGCTGTTGAATTTGGATAAAATGAAACGAGACTGAGTCAGTGTCACCAAGAAATATCATATAATATATAAAAGTTGATATATCATATAATATATAAAAGTTGATGACATAGTGCATTGAAAGTATGCACATGAGATTAAAAAATTTAATATGATTAGTCCACATCAGCATATTCATTAAATAAAAAATGTTAAGTATGATTAGGACAGAAAAACTTGATTTAATTAGTCAACATCAACTTTTAAATCAAAACAAAAATTATTAAGTATAATTAAAATATTAAAAGTTAATTTAACAAATTATGTCTAACAAAAAAACTAAATTTAATTTGATTGATCCAAATCAATATATTTATTATATCAGAAAATATTAATATGGTTTAAAAATTTAAAAGTGAAATAAAAAAATTAACAATTTACAATACATGTATAAAAAAAAGTAACCATTATCAATTATCAATTTAAAAAAATCTACAACAACTCGATTTAACAATTAAAACAATAAAAACTGAATAAAAATATAACATAAAACTCTTGGAAGACATGATGGAGAAGGGAAAAATAGTTTTGCATGATCATTACAGCTTCCTAACAAAATTAAATGCGAATCAACATGAATCATGGATTATATATGCAGTGGTACACAACATTAATATGACTTTCAATAAAAAAAACTAAATATTTGAACACATAACCCTTTAAGAAAAAAAAACCATAAAAATTCTATGGAAAACATAAAATAATAGCAAAATCTTAGCAAGATTATATTTCTCAAAATCAAATATATATACGTCAAAGTTGAATAATTTGATAGGTGTCATTGTTATTATTTTACCTAATAGTTTTTTAAAATTTATAAATAAAAATAGGATAAATTACATAATATATATTAAATTCTCTTATATAAATGAAAATTTCTATAAATATACTATATTTTAATAATTTTAAAGATAGTAGATAAAAAATTAAACCAAAATATTAATACAGATTCGCGCATAGCGCGATTTATATACCTAGTATAATTTATAAAAGTTGAAGGCATAGTGCATTCAGGACGTCCACATGAGATTAGAAAACTCGATCTGATTGGTCCACATGAGCATATTCATTAAATAAAAAAATGTTAAGTATGATTATGATAGAAAAACTTGATTTAATTGGTCCACATCAGCTTTTTAATCAAACCAAACATTATTAACAATAATTAAAACATTAAAAGTTAATTTAACAAATTATGTCCAAAAAAAAAGTAAATTCAATTTGATTGATCCAAATCAACATGTTTATTAAATCAGAAAATGTTAATATGATTTAAAATTTTAAAAGTTAAATAAAATAATTAACAATTAAAAATACATGTTTAAAAAAAAGTAACCATTATCAATTTAAAAAAATCTACACCAACTCTATTTAACAACTAAAACAATAAAAACTGCATAAAAATATAACATAAAACTCTTGGGAGACATGATGGAGAATGAAAAAATGGTTTTGTATGATTATTACAGCTTCCTAACAAAATTAAATGCGAATCAACATGAATTATGAATTATATATGCAGTGGTACACAACATCAATAAGACTTTCAATAAAAAAAATTAAATATTTGAACACATAAACCTTTAAGAAAAAAAAGAATTATAGAAATTCTATGGAAAACATAAAATAATACCAAAATCTTAGCAATATTATATTTATCTAAATCAAATGTATATGTACTTCAAAGTTGGATAATTCGATAGATGTCATTGTTATTATTTTATTTAATATTTTTAAAAAAATTTATAAATAAAATAGTATAAATTACACATTATATATTAAATTCTCTTATATAAATGAAAATTTCTATAAATATATTATATTTTTAATAATTTTAAAGATAGTAGCTAAAAAAATTAAACCAAAATATCAATACATACTCGCGCTATGCGCGAGTTATATACCTAGTCTTTGTTCGATACTTCAATATCTTAAAATTGGTGACACGATAAATAGTTTATTACGCCCAAGGGCACTTATTGCACTTTCCATAACGAAATTAAGCACTTTTTGGGAGTTAGGCCCTTTTTGTCATTTTTGCTCTCTCTCACCCCTTCGTTATTGTTATCCCTTCTTTGGAGTGTTTTTTGCAAGTAAAATTCTTGTAGACAATTAATTCTATAGCCGTCATGGATCTCCATCTCCAGTTTTTTTCTTTTTTTCTTTATCCAAACGTGCTTTTCTTTCCTCATTCAACACTCACCGTTCTGCCATCGTTTTTTTTCAGAGATCCCACGGTTCCCACAATAATATCTCCGCCGTTTGGACTTATCTAATGGCTCCTTGATCTAAGATTTCAATTCCAGATCTGCCAGGTACAATAGAAAATGTAAAGAGATCTTCAAAGGATGGAACTGCGTAGATCATCGTTACTGATAGATCAGATATTTGTACAAGAAGCACTGGTAGATTTTGTGGCTAATGGCAGAGGTAAAGGGTTTGAGAGGATCTGTCTTGGTGAAGAATAAAAATGCTGTGGTGAGTTAATTTGTGAACATGATTTATAGATATGGGGTTGTGGACATGAATTGGTGAACATGGAACATTGGATATGTTAGTGTACATGGAGCCATGTACATGAAGTCTCTGAAAGAATCAGATTGAGTTTTTTCTCGATCAAGCACACTTAAGTTAATAAAAGTTAAGATCTGATAAACCAAAAAAGGTGGAATGAAGTCAATGGACACTATGATGGACATGGAATCATAGACAAAAACCGTGGACATGAAGTACTGGACAAGATTTAACACATGGACAAACCGTTATAGGTTGTCATAAATCAAGTTTTAATGGACATGTTAACATGGACATAATCACATGGACATGTTTGGGTGATATGAATTCTCAAACAGATTAGCGTGTTATGAAACAAATAAGACATGAATATGACAAATTGGACACAAATTCAACAAGATACATAACAATGGATAGAAAGAAGTGGACACATAATCATGGATATGACATACTTCATGCTCATTAGCTTGTGCGGGAGATTTTTAACTTTAACCATTTAGTAATTGAAACTATTTATCACTCACTTACAAAGTCACAAACTGTAGTAACACACGAACCATGTGGATACTATCATATGGACATAGGCAAACCCAATACTCATTATGTGCTTGATGTAAAATTGTCATAGTTGTATATATATTGTCCACGAATCAATAACCATCTTGCATCCCCTTTACATCTCAGGGATCGACACCACCAACTACTACTCTCGTCCCTTCACTTATCATATCCAGGTTTGTATCCACTTGAGTGTATCCATGTGGTTCTATCTTTTCTTTCTTTCTCCATCAGATTGGGTCTATGAAAATAGACGCTTCTATATGTACAATCATACACCAACCCTCACATTCCAACACCACCTTTACTTCCATTAGATGTCCACCCCCACGCAAATGGTCACTTCTTTATGTACAATCGTATACCAATATTTACATATATAGGATCTGACACACACATAATATGGATTTCAGGACATGGTCACCTCTAAATGTACAACAAATTGAACATCCACTACGCTAATTGCAATCGTCACATTCAGGCACCACCATATTCGCACCATTACCATAACCTCTTAAATTTGCTTTTATTGTTTCTTCTTCCTCTAAGTTTTATGTCCATTGATTGTTGTCTATTGTTCCCTGTCCATCTTGTACCCTCGTTATCTGTCAATTGTCCATCGCCTCATATACATTGTCTCCTGCCCATTGCCTCATATCTCCTATCTCCCGTCCACTGTGTTTTGTCCATCATCGAGATCCCCCAATTCAAGGTTACACCTCCCATGTAACAATCTCCGTTCCGGGCAAAAGCACTGTAGCTTCCGCCGCCGTCGCGAATCATGCCTCTGATTCGAATTTTGGATCGGAGACAAATTTCTGACTCCAAAACTGAACATCCTTCAAATCATAGATCTGCAAAACTCGTTACCGCCACAACCCTCTCATCTGTCGTGGCCGCCACCGCAAAGGCCAAGAAAAGGGATGTCGAGGCTCCACTAACAATTGCTAGGTTTACAGGCGCCCAAATCGGAAACGAAGCACCTGAGTATAAGGACTTCAAAGGAGGCAAATTCTATACGAGTTAAAAAGATTACTTTAGAAGACGACAAGGAGAAGATTCAAAGAAACCTTTTGTAAGATTTCCTTGACTATGGAGATAATGGTTGCAGAAGACGACGAGAAGAAGAAGATCGGCTAAGATTCAAAGAAACCTGTTTTTCTTTTTACTCTTGAAAATTAACTCTTTCATTAAGGGCAAAAATGATAATACACATCACCAAACATGAAAAAGTGCCCAAATTGTAAAAAGTGTCTCTTTTGTAAGTGAAATAACAAAAATGCCTTCTACTGTAAAAAATTCCAAGATAAACCAAAACCAAAGAGACAAATATCATTATTTGCTTCACTAATCTCAAACCGATTACAAGACTCATGTAACAAAACCGGTTCTCTCCAAAAAATATATCAGGGCCAACATCTCAAAATTTAACTTCAGTTTCTTCTAATATGTGTATATTAAGCAGTTTCTACTAATTTGTGTATATTGGGGAGTTTTTCGCTTACACAGTTTTCCTCACTTGGTTTTGACTTGGAACAGGCTTTTTCTCTATGCACATTTGGCTTGCCATAATCATGCTGAACAACCTCTTAGTTCTAACCCCAGCAAATCTTAAAGAGAGGAATGAAGCAATTATCTTATATCTCACTAATGTGAAATTCAAAGTCCTCAAGTTACCTCTCTCTAATATTAAATCTC